TCAGATGCAGTTGAAGTTCAGACTTTCAGCTTTAATTCAGTGGGTTGAACAAAATTATTGCATAAAAATGTGAGGAACTAAAGCATCTTTTAAACACAAACCCTTCATTTCAGAGGCTCAAAAGTAATTGGACAGATTAAATAATTGTAAATAAAATGTTCATTTCTAGTACTTGGTTGAAAAGCCTTTGTTGGCACTGACTGCCTGAAGTCTTGAACTCATGGACGTCACCAGATGCTGTGTTTCCTCCTTTTAATGCTCTGCCAGGCCTTCACTGTGACGGTTTTCAGTTGCTGTTTGTTTATGGGCCTTTCTGTCTGAAGTTCAGTCTTTAACAAGTGAAATGCTCAGTTGGGTTGAGATCAGGTGACTGACTTGACCATTCAAGAATATTCCACGTCTTTGCTTTAATAAACCCCTGGGTTGTTTTAGCTTTATGTTTTGGGTCATTGTCCATCTGCAGTATGAAATGACGACCTATCGTTTTGGCTGCATTTGGCTGATCTGAGCACACAGTTTGGCTCTGAAWACCTCAGAATTCATTTAGCTGCTTCTGTCCTGTGTCACATCATCAGTAAACACTAGTGACCCAGTGCCACTGGCAGCCATGCATGCCCAGGCCATCACACTGTGTCTGTCTTGTTTTACACATGATGTGGTGCTTTGGATCATGAGCTGTACCACRCCTTCACCATACTTATTTCTCTCCATCATTCTGGTAGAGGTTGATCTTGGTTTCATCTGTCTAAAGAATGCTCTTCCAGAACTYTGCTGCTTTTTTAGATGTTTTTTAGCAAAGTCCAGTCTAGCCTTTTTATTCTTGATGCTTATGAGTGTCTTTCAGGGTGCAGTGAACCCTCTGTAGTTACTTTCATGCAGTCTTCTCTTTATAGTAGATTTGGATATTGAGACATCTACCTCCTTGAGAGAGTTGTTCACTTGGTTGGGTGTTGTGAATGGGTTTCTCTTCACCATGGAGATTATTCTGCCATCATCCACCACTGTTGTCTTCTGTGGGCGCCCAGGTCTTTTTGCATTGATGAGTTCACCAGTGCTTTCTTTCTCAGGATGTACCAAACTGTAGATTTTGACACTCTAATATTGTAGCAATTTCTTGGATGGATTTTTTTCTGTTTTTGCAGCTTAAGGATGGCTTGTTTCACCTGCATGGAGAGCTCCTTTGACCGTTTACTTCACAACAAAACCTTCCAAATGCAAGCATAACACCTCAAATCAACTCCAGGCCTTTTATCTGC